TAGGGAAAGTGAAGAACAGGAATGTTGAGATTCACTGACCATTCATAGCTGGTCCATGTCTCGACCCAAGTTTCCTAAGAACCAGCTCAGGATCTTCTGATGTATAAGGTTCACACAATAAACAGTAACATAAGTGAGCTGGCATTCAGTGGTCTTCACGTTTCCTTTTGAAGCCACTTTATATTTTGGGTCTTCACCCCTTTCATGAAAAGTCCTTTTTTATTTTACCTCAAAGCTTCATTGTAGTTCCAAATTCCCTGAAGTGAATGAAGTGTGGCCAAATGTGGGCCTGACAAGTGTGGAGAAAGGCCTCTGAGCAGAACAGGGAAGGACTATGTGGTTGCATAGCCCTAGACTTCTGCCTTATTTGGAGTCTTGAGGATCCAGTGCGAGGGAGTATGGTGGGGCCCACAGGATGGAGAGGTGCACTTGCAGATGAAGCAGGATGTTTCTTTTAAAGGCCAGGAAAGGGATCTCCTAGAGGGTGAGTCATTTTCCTAATGCTCATTGTTTCTATTGATGAGACTAGAGGAAATCTAAGACTCTAGTCCCCAGTGGACTCTGTGAAAAAAGATGTATTTCGTTTTTAGTGTCAAGAGAAACAGGAAGAGGCAACCAGCAGTTAGCGTAATGGCTATGTCGCTGGACTCCCACGTAGTTGACCGCAGTTCACATCCCGGACCCGGTGGCTTAAAACTCATGCCGGACGCGTGTGCGTGTGTGCCCAAGATCCTGAGAGGAGAATGGAGGAGAAGGGATTGCGGCATGACCATCCCCCCCGGGAGGTGATTTCTTGCTTTCTGTCTCTATGTCTCTCTCTGTCTGGCGAGCACAAGCGCCCTATAGCGAAAACCTCTCCAAAAAAGAAAAAAAAAAAGAGAGAGAGAGAGAGAGAAACAGGAAGATATAATAATAACATTAGCTTAGGGTATGGACAGTTGAGAATTCAAATCCTTTACAACCATTTCCTAATTTCTTGATCTTAGACAGGTTAATACAATTGCTTGATCGTAGGTTTGCCTGGTAAAATAAAGATGATCATTTCTGCCCGTCCTAATTTCTAGAGTTTTAGAAATTAAGTACACAACAGTTTTGTGTAAGTTTTAATATATAGTCTATTAAAATATTTAATATATAGTCACATACTTCATTATATCATTTCACAATGAACTGCTTGTAGGTGATGGTCCCATAAGATTGTAATGGAGCTGAAAAATGCTTAGTGCTAGTGCTATTGTAGCCATCACTACAGAACTTTGCAGTCATCCTAAGCACATCTATGAAGAGAGCAATGGGCATTACTCATGTGTTCGTGGTGATGCCAGTAGAAATGAACCTACTAGGCTGCCAGTTGTGTAAGTATAGCACATACTATTAGCACAGTATGTAATACTTGACAATAAATGACTCGTTACTAGTTTTCATATTTACAAACTTTTTCATACTGTACTTTTCCTCGTTATTTTAGAGTGTACTCCTCCTGCCTATGGTGGGAAGAAGCTTACTGTAAAATGCTATGCCATGTTATACCAACAGCAGCCTCACATATCTCAGGTTTACCATGTCTGTTCATTTTTAAAAAAGAATACTTACTTAATTTTACTTATCATTATTATAATTTCTTTTTTAACCAGAGAGAGGGAGAGAGAGGAAAAGTGAAAAAGTAAGCTGCCAGGTCAGGGACTTGAACTGCAGTTGGCCATGTGGGAGTCCAGCGCCCCAACCACTACCAGCCCCAGCATGTTTCTTAATTTTATCATTCATTCTTTTGCTTAATTTAATGTTTGTATTCTGTTGATCATCACACCCTTGCCAATGGGACAAGATGTGGAAGTAGAACACAGTGATATTAATGATGCTGACCCTGTGTAAGCCTAGGCTAATGTTTGTGTCTTAGTTCTAAACAAAATTTAAAAAATATATATTTAGCTTAAAATAGGAAAAAGTTATAAAGATATTAAAGAGAAAATATTTTTGTACATCTGTACAATGTGACTATATTTAAATGAAGTATTATTACAAAAGAGTCAAACACTCCAAGTAATTTTAAGGTTTACGAAGTAAAAACTTATAGTAAGCTGAGGTTAATTATTACTAAAGAAAGAAAAAAATTTTAATAAGTTTAGTGTAGCCTAGATGTACAGTGTTTATAGTCTACAGTAGTGTACAGTAATGTTTTAGGCCTTCCTTTTCACTCACCACTTACTCACTGACCTACCCAGAGCCACTTCTAGTCCTTCAAGCTCCATTCATGGTAAGTGCTTTATCCCATTTTTTAGCTTTCATACCAAATGTTTACTGTACCACTTCTGTTTAGACATGTTTAAATACACAATACTTACATTGTGTTAGAATTGCCTGTGATATTCAAGATAGTAACATGCTATACAGGTTCATAACCCAGGCTAGACCATAATGCCTATATGTATAATAAGCTATACCATCTAGTTTTGTATAAGTATCCTCTATGATATTCACATAATCACAGATCACCTATTGACACATTTCTCAGAATATATATCCATTGTAAGCAATGCATGACTATATTTTATAAATGGAAGGCATCATTGTTCTTTCCAAAACATCTTCAATTCTTATGGGTACATGCTGTAAGCTTGCCATGAATTTTTTAAAGAATTTGAATTTGTGATGTGATCTTAAAAACAAGATCAGCTATGGATTGTGTTTCATTCCAAAATACAAGTAAAAGATGGAATATAAAAAAAAAACAATTCCATTTTTTTCCCCCTATTTTGGCAATCCTAAAAAAAGTAACATTTTTAGCTTGGGGACAACTGGTATGACTTTTGCCTTTGAACCTTCTTTTTTCCTCCTTACTTTTAAACTTTAAAACTTACATGTTGGCTTTACTCTCTGTTTCCATTATAGGAAATTGATGGAAAATCACTGCTATTGATGACAAGGAATGATGTGCTGACAGGACTTCAGTTAAAATTGGGGCCTGCTCTGAAAATCTATGAGTATCACGTAAAACCTCTGCAGACAAAGCATTTGAAGAACAACTCTTCATAGTACAGTCAAATTGGGGTCTTAGACCTCAAAAAATACATAATGACATAATTTAGTTTCATGTGATGAAACTTTGTAAACAGAATACATACATGTGTATATGTAAAGAATTTCAATCTAATGAAATGTTATCCTATTGGATAGACTAGGCAATCCATCAGCTGACCTGAATTCAGCCAGGAGAAGCAGGGATAGGTAAGATGTGCACAGGATGATATTCCTTGTGGATTTGTCAAATAGAATGATCTTTGACACAACTCGACACCCCTCCCCACAGAGGCTTTGAAATCATGAGGGTTTCTTTATTTCTTCATAGATTACTTTCCCAAAAATCCTTAAGAAGAATGTAGTGGAATGAGCCTCTTTGGTTACAGACATAGGAAGTTTAGGTAAAAACTTGAAAACTTAGGGAGGGGTGAAAATAGAAAGGCACCGCTATGTCTCTTGAGTTCCTCTGCTCCTTAGAGCTGGTGTCCTTGGATGGAATTGCCGACACCCTTTGTATAGAGGGTCCTCCACTTGACCTTATTAAGGTTTCTTTGGGATATGCTGCAAGTTTGGAATGAACGTGCATATTGTGGCCCCTTCAGGAAGGAAATCATAGCTCTGCAGAGAGAAACTCTGCTGTGTACTGGGGATCTCCATCCATACTCGGCTAGCTTTCACGGGGGTGATGGTATTTTCTGCATAGATTTGCTTTTAAGTTGATTGTTTCTGAAGAAAGCTTTTTTTTTTTTTTTTTACTTTATGGTTTGTATTTATAATAATTTGCTTCTGAGGAAATTGCAGAGTTATAGATCAGAAAACCTTGTTACTAGTACAGAATATTTTTATATATATTCCTTCATGATGGTGTAATATTTTTTTAATTGTCCCATGCTTTGATTCCTGATGTGAGTACTTGTCTTTAAGAACTTGAAAAAGTGGGCTTGCTACATCTCTGTTCAAAGAGACGTTTGTTCTATCTCTGTGTGTCAATGCCTTGTTGAATTGGTGCTCTGTGGTTGCAATAAAGCATTGCTTCAGTTTATTCCCACTGTATCCTTTGATCTATTTTCTGTTTGCTTCTTCAGTTGGGATTAAGGATTAATGTGTCCTTGAAAGCATAGGGAGAAAATTAAGACTTTTTTTAAAACAAACAAACAAACAAAAAACTTTAAGTATGAAAGTTATCTAGATCTATATGTGGATTGATTTTCTTTATAAATTGAATCATCCAGGTAGTTCTCATTCTTTTTCTTACTCGCACCCAGCAACCAATTTTAGGTATTATTTTGGACGAAGATTTTTTTTTAATTTGCTATAGGCAAATTAAGATCACTAGATTGTGAACTTATATTTATGTTTTTCGAATTCTGATGAAAGCTACTGACCTTCCCTATTGACCAAAGCTCATCTTCTCCCATATAAACCTATGCAGAGGGGCCAGCAGGTAGCATAGTGGTCAAGGTACTGGACTCCCAGATGGCCGGCCACAGATCAAGTCCTGGACCCAGTGTCATGAAAATCATGCCAGGTGTATGTGCATGCATGCCCAAAATCCCAGGAGGAGAATGGAGAAGAGATTGCAGTATGCCCATCCCCACTGGGGGAGGTGGGGTGATGTCTCACTTTCCTTCTCACTGTCTGTTTCTCTCTAGCAAGTGCATGTACACTATGACAAAAACCTTACAAAAAAAAAAAAATGACTGTGCAGAAAGTTGATATAATTTTTTACTTTCCCACTTCGTATTCCTTAAATTAAGAGAATGTTAGAGAATGCTGTAATTCAGTCCTTGGTGAAGATCATTTCTCTGAAGAGTAGAAAGTTTGAACATGATAGTGAAAAACAAAGGAAATGGCAGATAGTGATCAGAGTTCAGAAATGCACTCTATATTCAATTATGGGCCAATTACAGCCTATGAAGTGTCTGAACTTGAATAATGCTTTGTTTTGCACTGTAAGTGACCATTTCTGTCTCCAAGTTCCCACAGCGTCAGGCAGCAAATACATGTCAAGTGAAAGGCAGAATCTAGTTAAGGACTGTGAGAAACATGGAGACAAAGGTGAGAACTGCAGCTGCTGGAGACAGTGAGCAGGAAGGGGTGGAGAATCTGGAAGGGCTACGGAATGAAGGACATGATTAAAACTTTTCTGGAGGAGTTCTCACAATAAAATGGTAATGATGCTTGACCCCTGTCTACCTCAGAAAGATAGTGTGAGGGGGCAACAGGTGGCATGGTGGTTGAGGTGCTGGACCCACATCGCCAGCTGCAGTTCTAGCTCAGACCTGACGGCTTACTTTCTCTCTCTCTCTGTCTCCCCCCACTTCCCTCCCTCCTTCCCTCCCTCCCTTCCTCTTCCAGTGAGCACATGTGCCTTGTAGCAAATTTAAATAATAAAAAGTATAAAGTTAGGGGACCAGCAGGTGGCATGATGATTAAGGTGTTGGATACTCCCACATGGCTGATCATGGTTTGAGTCCCAGACCAGGTGGCCTGCTTTCTCACTTTCCCTCTGTGTGTGTGTGTGTGTGTGTGTGTGTGTGTGTGTGTGTGTGCTGAGGAAATTGCAGAGTTATAGATCAGAAAACCTTGTTACTAGTACAGAATATTTTTATATATATTCCTTCATGATGGTGTAATATTTTTTTAATTGTCCCATGCTTTGATTCCTGATGTGAGTACTTGTCTTTAAGAACTTGAAAAAGTGGGCTTGCTACATCTCTGTTCAAAGAGACGTTTGTTCTATCTCTGTGTGTCAATGCCTTGTTGAATTGGTGCTCTGTGGTTGCAATAAAGCATTGCTTCAGTTTATTCCCACTGTATCCTTTGATCTATTTTCTGTTTGCTTCTTCAGTTGGGATTAAGGATTAATGTGTCCTTGAAAGCATAGGGAGAAAATTAAGACTTTTTTTAAAACAAACAAACAAACAAAAAACTTTAAGTATGAAAGTTATCTAGATCTATATGTGGATTGATTTTCTTTATAAATTGAATCATCCAGGTAGTTCTCATTCTTTTTCTTACTCGCACCCAGCAACCAATTTTAGGTATTATTTTGGACGAAGATTTTTTTTTAATTTGCTATAGGCAAATTAAGATCACTAGATTGTGAACTTATATTTATGTTTTTCGAATTCTGATGAAAGCTACTGACCTTCCCTATTGACCAAAGCTCATCTTCTCCCATATAAACCTATGCAGAGGGGCCAGCAGGTAGCATAGTGGTCAAGGTACTGGACTCCCAGATGGCCGGCCACAGATCAAGTCCTGGACCCAGTGTCATGAAAATCATGCCAGGTGTATGTGCATGCATGCCCAAAATCCCAGGAGGAGAATGGAGAAGAGATTGCAGTATGCCCATCCCCACTGGGGGAGGTGGGGTGATGTCTCACTTTCCTTCTCACTGTCTGTTTCTCTCTAGCAAGTGCATGTACACTATGACAAAAACCTTACAAAAAAAAAAAAATGACTGTGCAGAAAGTTGATATAATTTTTTACTTTCCCACTTCGTATTCCTTAAATTAAGAGAATGTTAGAGAATGCTGTAATTCAGTCCTTGGTGAAGATCATTTCTCTGAAGAGTAGAAAGTTTGAACATGATAGTGAAAAACAAAGGAAATGGCAGATAGTGATCAGAGTTCAGAAATGCACTCTATATTCAATTATGGGCCAATTACAGCCTATGAAGTGTCTGAACTTGAATAATGCTTTGTTTTGCACTGTAAGTGACCATTTCTGTCTCCAAGTTCCCACAGCGTCAGGCAGCAAATACATGTCAAGTGAAAGGCAGAATCTAGTTAAGGACTGTGAGAAACATGGAGACAAAGGTGAGAACTGCAGCTGCTGGAGACAGTGAGCAGGAAGGGGTGGAGAATCTGGAAGGGCTACGGAATGAAGGACATGATTAAAACTTTTCTGGAGGAGTTCTCACAATAAAATGGTAATGATGCTTGACCCCTGTCTACCTCAGAAAGATAGTGTGAGGGGGCAACAGGTGGCATGGTGGTTGAGGTGCTGGACCCACATCGCCAGCTGCAGTTCTAGCTCAGACCTGACGGCTTACTTTCTCTCTCTCTCTGTCTCCCCCCACTTCCCTCCCTCCTTCCCTCCCTCCCTTCCTCTTCCAGTGAGCACATGTGCCTTGTAGCAAATTTAAATAATAAAAAGTATAAAGTTAGGGGACCAGCAGGTGGCATGATGATTAAGGTGTTGGATACTCCCACATGGCTGATCATGGTTTGAGTCCCAGACCAGGTGGCCTGCTTTCTCACTTTCCCTCTGTGTGTGTGTGTGTGTGTGTGTGTGTGTGTGTGTGTGTGTGTGTGGTTAAATGATAAAGTTAAATAATTATTAAAAAAAGGGACCAGCAGTTAGCATAATGGCTATGTTGCTGGACTCCCACATAGTCGACCGCGATTCGCATCCCGGACCGGGTGGCTTAAACTCACGCCGGGCGCATGTGCGTGCATGCCCAAGATCCCAAGAAGAGAATGGAGGAGAAGGGATTGCAGCGTGGCCATCCCCCCGGGGGATGATTTCTCGCTTTCTATCTCTCTGTCTCTCTCTCTCTCTCTCTGTGTCTGGCGAGCGCACGTGCTCTATAGCAAAAAACCTCTGAAAACAATAAATAAATAACACGAGGTATGCCAAAATCCTGCTTATCTATCTACCTAATAATTTCAGTATTACTTTGGAGTGAGTTTGGCTGTGAGAGCTAGAAACTACCTCCTGTATTCCCCAGCAGGCAGAGTAAACAACTTAAATGTATCGTATACTTCTCTCTCATTTCAATGTTCAGTTAAGGGGACTAGGGATGATGCTAGGGACACAGACTCCCTCAGTGATTTTGCTGCATCACCTATGACACCCATCCCCAGAATCATTTACAGCCCAAAACAGCTGCTTTAGCTCTCACCATCACCATCTGAATTCCAACCAGCAGGAAGAAGGAAAAGGAAAAGGAATAGACTCCTTTCTACAAGGACACTTCCAAGAAATTACACATACAACTTCCTCTTATGTCTTA